TCAGCTGGCGATACAACGGCTCATCCTCTAATTTCGCATTTACGGCCTTGCGTGCAGCCCAGTGCTAACGCAACGCTTGCACAATCCCCAGTGGGGCTCTATTCAACTGGGTTACTGCGTTCAGCACGCAAAATATACCAATTTCGAGAATGAACAGGTCACTAGCAATAGGCATGCACGGCGTCGACCATAATGAATCTGGAAGTGAGAGCAAGGAAAGACAGGCGCAGTCTGTATCATGCACGGCCTGTGATGATCTAGTCTTACATTATACTATGAGCGGAATTTGCCGTGCGTCTACCCAACACGGGCCAGCCATTCGACTACTTCGACTCATAGTATCCGAGCCGCAAAGGCGCAAGGATTGTCATATTCTCCTGACTCTAGCTGGAGCCTCTGGCATCGAGATCCTGCCGAAAACAATCTTTCTTTTTTGTTCCGCACCAGGTACAAAGCACTATACATCTGTGATAATAGTACGTTGTTGCGATGGCACTGTGCTTTTGTGGACTAAGTGTACACTACTTGTTTGTACTGATACTAATCAAACCCTGTGCAGCAGCCAACCAGCGAACTCAACGGTGCTACCATACGCAAGCGCAACCTGATCCTCACAGTAGCCGAAAACAGGCCGCATCAGTGGACCTTTTGGCGAGACTGAAAAAGCGACATGCATCAAAACGCTGGTTGGAACGTGAAAGATAGACAAGAGCTTGGGTTACAATAACTGACGCTCTAGGGAGAAGAGAGTGATTTAACGCTGTAAGGGTACCCATGGCCATGCATCAATTCTCACCCCCGCCTGGTTCCACCCAGTGCTAACGGAGCGCCAGTGAATTCAAAGGTGCTTTTTCATACACACGCCTGTTTCATGCCGTCAGTCAATGCACAGCTGCTCGAATATTCACTCATACGGATCGGCGAACATTTAGGCTTGCATATTGCTACTACGTGGCTCCTCACCCATGGCGGTGCTTGAACCGTCCAGCACCAATTGGCCGCAGAGTTGCGTGCGAATCATGAACTATGGCGGGCCGAGTGGTGCTACTTTATGAGGGCGGATACATCATGCATCTCAACTAAGGGGGGACCCGGCAAGGACGGGAGGAGCCTTGTGGCGGGCGGCCCAAGCCATTAGCCATGCCCGTTCCTTTGCTGCAAGCCCTACCAAGTATGGGGTACACTGTGTGTGTACGAAGGTTGTTTTGTCCAAAACAAGTCACAATAACACAGGGTTGAGCTGCAGAGGTGGTAGCTACATGTAGCCAACGCTACAATTACTACGTTTACCTACTGCCTGGGTTTTTCTCCCCCTTTTTTCACGCCCATCTCTTAGATAATGGCGGCACCAGACCAGCCAACCGCCTGCGTCGCTCCAACTTCCCCTCGTTGCCACGCCGGCCGACGCAAATGGAGAAGAGAGCCATTGGCGGTCGCCCACTGAAGCATCATGCATACAAATCCGTGCCCGTTGCCTTATTGGCAAGTACAGAGTATGCCTATGGAGTCCTATTCAATTCTCCATACGATACTCCGTACTATTCGTACTGCTCGTACGAGCGAGCACTCGCACGCCCTGCTTGCACCCCCTCCCCTGCACCTCGGTGACGACTAGGATGAATATTCGGACTGCTTGGAATGGCGAACCCATACCTAACCCAACCACTCATTGGACAACGCAATATCGTTTGGCGGATAGCTTGCCGCTAGCAGCGGCCAAGCTTCGGTGTGTTTCCAGATATTCGGGAGCCACCACTCGGAATACTACTCCACAATTTCTGTCGCGTCGGCTGTCTGGTGAGATTCTACTACGGCGGGCATCCTGGCGGCTGGATCTGCTTCCCACTGTTGCTTTAGCGCCAAGTCTTAAACAAGACGCTGTGAGCAAGCGATACAATGAGATCCAGCTTGGCGTTTAGTAGAGGCAAAGGATTGATGGGCAACAGAAGTCGAAACGAAGACGCAAGCACACATACCTATAAACTACCCACAGCCATGGTCGCAGAGAAAGAGGTTGGCATTCCATCTCCGCGGCATGATTCCTAGTCAACTGAAATTCCACTAATAGAGGGCGTCTCTTCTGTATGCATCATTCCTGCAGCCCGCGTTACACTTGAGTTACTACATGCCGCCAAGTGCTACTGAGCATAAGAGAGACGCCAGACATACACATCATTCGATTGTCCATCTCAAGGAACTTGGAATCGAAAATCGTACTATACGTACCCAATGTACAGTGATTTTGCTGGCATCAAAGAGGCGTCGTCCACTCATCCTCGAGGATGGAGATAGACAATTTGACTCTTAAGAGAGTGTTGGCATGCAGCCTTAGCTGGCCTGGCCATCCGAAGTCCCATCATTGGCTAATACTGTTGGATCATTGGCTAATACTGTTGGGTTTTTGAAAGCACTACGAGCGTTCATGTGTACTAACAGTACAAGCATGCATATTGGCCGCTAGTGTGGACGCCGGCCGGAGAGAAGGAAAACTGCCGTTCGATGCGGCCTAGAACCTATCTCACCCGTGGTTCTTGAAGAAAGCTTTCTCGCCTCTCTCTTTTCGCCTCTTGCCACAAGAATTATCCCATCCCTGAAGAAAGGAGTGTACCTTGAATCATCTCGGTCATAGAGATTCGACATGCGTCTTTGCTGGTATCCTTGAAATACTTGCTGTCAGCACGACCAGAAACGGCGAAGAGTCCGTGCTCGTCAAAGAGAGGTAGCATAACTCGTGACCTCAACAGGCTCACAACATGGTGGGGTCAGGATCAAGGTGGCACCCTTCCCAAAAACTGACGCTATCTACGGAGCGTTCTGGGGAGCTGCGGGTTGAACCGCTATGCATGGTTGACGATGCCACGACACCTGCGTCAATGTGTGGTGGAGCAAGGTAACAAGGGCCAGACGAGGTTAGACTCGTCCCAGGGATTCTGGCCTTAAATGATCCAAGTTGGGAGGCAGGTGCAGAGGCTGAGGATGAACGCTTATCACGAGGGCGTCCCATACTACTGCTACTAGCAGCAGCAGCAGCCAGCAAAGACTGGATTCACTGTATGCCATGGTGCGACATGGCCGCCAGACGACTACTATTCGTCATATTGTCCAGCTTGAGATGCTTATGCCCAAATCCCTCTGCTCCCTAATTGGGAAAGATGCGATTGAAGAATCGAGAAGTAGAAAGACTAGCAACAGTGAGGGGGAGTGACTCCAGGGACCTGCAGAGTTCGAGACCTGAGAATCAAGGAAAGAGTACAATGCGTGACAGCTGGCCATCGCCACCTTAGCTTACATGATGCATACGCACCTTATATGGGCTCTCGTGCATCGACCTGTGGTTGTCGTCAAATCGTCGCCAAGGATTGGGCTGTTATGTACCATCGAAGGATTGTGGCTTCGTCCTTTTCAATCCAGAGCTACGGGCACGTATTTCATGAGTATACATAGCAGAGGGGAAACAGCAAGCTTGCGGGGCAAAAAGAAGATCAATACGACACCTGCAGGATTCGAACCTGCGCGTGCGAACACAATGCCTAAAGATATCTTGAAGATAGCAGGGCATCGCCTTAACCACTCGGCCAAAGTGTCTTTTGTTTATGAATGGCCTTTCTGGGTAAATCTACAATACACATACAGCTTTGTGCAGGGCGCTTGTACGCTAACTGGAACACATGTTTGCGGCTTCCTACGCAAACATCAGCGACATTGAGCGACAACACACCATGTCTGGGATGACGATTGTTGTGTTGGGAGCTCACAGGCACAAAAAGGTGACAACATAGAACCGACTCTCGAATCCATTGAAAAGGAGATTTACTAAAACTGTGTCTGTTCCCTTGGGAGTACTAACTACGGGCAAATTGATGTGGTGATGCCTTACCAACGTCTGCGGATGCAACCATAAGAAGGACCCGAGACGGGAACCGGCCAGTCGCATGGTGACAAGGTTACGCAGCAGCAGGATTAAGGTTCCCCATTGGCTTCAGTGCGATCCATCTCGCATGCATGCTGAGGCTGGCAAGATAACAACTACGCCCACTGCTGAATAGGTCGTCTAATAGGGTTCTCTCAGGCGTGATAATATCTATGATATTGCATGGACATAGGCACCTGGTTAACGGCAATGGAATCCAAATGCTTATCGTGGTCTCCATGACCAAGAAGGCCATACCCATACGCCTAGCCCAGTTCTCGCTAAGCTATTGCGAAGTGATTTGGGGCGATGCATAACCGAGACGGTCTATATCTATCTGATACATCAGACGGAATTCACAAATCGCATTTGCGCCTGATCACCTCCAAGCTGAGCTTGTTGTGTTATCCCGGATGGCCCTTAAGTTTGCGGCTGCAGGACGGGCGGCACGCAATGGATCGCGATCGTTTCGCTACATGCACTAAACCCTCAACCGAGCTTACTCATATACCTAGCACCATGAATCCAAGATACTCTAACAACGGGTATGGGATTACGCCAAAGGCTAAAAAAAAAGATACAGAAGGCTAAGCAGCTCGTATCAGAGGAAAACCGGTACCATATCATAAACTCTACGCCTCTCAGAAAAAACCATATAGCTAGGTATCAAGGGCTCACTCTATTTCTGCTTATACGACTAGCTGACATGTCAGATCTCGCTCTACGCCCGTCATTCTTCGCCTCTGTGAGGCAGTGACAGTCCACTGTCGTCATTGGGTGTATGAGAATAATGGCTGCTGCGACCAACTGATCCTAACCACCTCTTGTTGCTTTCGAAGCCGAAGATGACGGCCGCATGAAACCCGAAAGAAAGCAGGCATACTCCCATCATACAGGTGGACACCGTAGGATTGAGCGGGATCTCGTCCTTTTCCTTCTTTTGCTCAAGCCACCTCTGAGTGTATCTTCCCCTCCTTACAGAGTGCATGGCTGCAAGGCCATTGTCTGTCCGTCTCTGCTAGATGGCTGCATGTGCGAATAAATCATTCGTCGCACGGACAACTGCTCTCTATTGGCATGCATAGCTACCTATACGTGTGGTCGTATCAGAATGCATGTACCTGTATGGAGTAGTACTACGTGCTACAGCGGGTTGACGACGATGTACCTATTGATAGCCGCAAGACGGCTGCAAGCCGATGCACCTCTGGCCGAATTTAGGTCCCTTAGGCTGTACATGGTAAGGCGAGCGTGCGCAAACAGTACACAGCAGACGGTCTACAACATCCGACGCTACACTGCACAAGAAAGATGAAAGGGGCCTGCAACGAGGCTGGACATGACGGCCCTCGCGCACACATTTTATGGAGGGCGTGCGTCCTCTTCCTCGGGCTTGTCAAGAAGGGTGCCACACGGAGGGCAACCTGGCGACCACACGCTTCGAACGGAAGAGGTATCCATTCTAGCAGACGCTATGCTAAAATATACTAATACCTGCTATAGTATCTACTACAACTGTAGCATATGCTTGTATGTCTTCGCAAAGCGCCAATCGCTATACTCGGCGAGCGGCCGCTGAGGATGAGAGGGGGGGAAAAGAGCGTAGCATTGAGGCAGCTTGGACAATATAGAGAGATTGATGCATGGCACACGGGGTGCTGCTGCAACTCTGCATGCACGGGAAGACCTTATTGGCGATTTACAGATGGGGCAGCTTGTCCACTTTGGGTTACCTTTGCATCATGTCCGACGGGGCCCAAGCTCGATTTGAGACGAACAGCTGGGCTTCAAGAGAAGAGACCCCCCTCCCCGGCGACGGGTATTGTCTGCTACAATCCAGTATGGCATCGGCTAAGCAGCGTTGTCCCTCCCCTCATGCGGCGGCGCTCCTTAGCGGTTGGGCCCATGTCAAAAGATGTACATGGACTGTGCGGTGGCTTGCTGGCTGGCCTCCTATCAAGTTTCACGATGTACTTGTACGTCTAGAGGGTTCATTGCATGGGAAGCGGCTGACGGCTTGGCAAATTACGGAAGACTTGCTTTAAACGACCGTGTTGTAGCCTATTGTGGCAAAGTGAGATTCGAGATGAGGCTCTCGGGGGGGAGAGGGGGCTGCTATGCTGCTTGGGACCAAGAGTTCCGACCAGTAAGTTTCCCCCGGCTTACCTTGTAGATTCAGATCTCTTTGTTCGTAACACAGCCGCCCTTAGCTATGCCGAAAGCCTGGCCACCGGGAGAGTGGGCGTTCCCGTGGGACGCTTACAAGGACCACTGGTACTATACATGTACTTGGCACTAGCACTGCCAAGTACTTACTGCTGCTGTTGCTGATGATGGCAATCCTCACAGGCAAGTTTCCACCAAGTTGAGCCTGATGTTTTAATATGGGCTGATTAGAATTACTTGCTGGTACCAGACCGGTGTACGAGGAATGCCACCTACCAAATAGTATGCACCAATGCTACGATTCCGATTCTGTTCAGCTAAGCACATCACCGAGAGTTGCATCTGAAGTGGAACATGTCTCCCTCGACCCCATTTACCGCATGAACCATTATACGAAATACTCTTTTCTCGCTCCCTGCTCCTCACTCTTGCTCATTGCGCCCTTTCCTATCTAATTCTACGCAAGGGAGGACATCCCTCATTTTGAGAGGTGATGTCCCAGTCATATAGGTGGTGGTGATGGCTGAACAAAATTCAAACTAACTTACTGTACGAACCGGACTAGCTGCTTAGGTTTGCTTGTACAAGTACGACGAACCGGGTCTTCCCTGTGGCCTCCCGAATATCGTACGAGGACGACGTGTACCTACTTCTACAAGTATGCAGCTTGATGTGCCTGGCGACCCCTTTTGTCCACAGCAATGGACCGCCCTGCGCCTAGCAGTAATTACTGATAAGCAGTTCGCACATGTCTGTGCTATCAGTATACTAGTATTTCCCGGGTTATATGCTTGCTCGAGCTACCCTACTATGTAGCATTGCACTTGTTAGCTATTATATGTGGATAACAATGGCCCTCTGCACTAATGACCGGCAACCGGGGTCAATGGCCGTTCCCCTGAGTATGGCAAGTGCATGGAGCACACCTTACCTACGCGTACACGAGAAAATCTGTACAGGAGCAGTCTAGTATTTGGATTTCCAATGTGTGTGTGCTGGTTTCCAGCGTTTCAGGTACTTCAGAGCTATAGGCGATGCACCAAGGGGGCTTGTGGTCACTGCCGATCCGGATGTGACCATTGGATATGTAAAGACATCAAGAGTGTGAGTGGGACCTAGACCGGACATTTGGACCAACAGGAAACAAGTCTGAACTGAAACTTTTTGCGGGTTGCTTCCATACAAGTGGCACAGTAGTGCTACCATGATGAAGACGAGGCTGAATCAAGGAATTAGATGGCCTGGCAAAGAAGAGCTCGATGTGGAGCGGTTGGCACAGGTTGACTCATTAACGCGGACACGACAGGTGTGAGAGCCGGGGGGAAAGCATCCTGCTCTCGACTGAGAAGACGAAAGGTAGATTGAGCGCCCTTTACCATCCGGCAGACGCATGATTTTACTCTAATAAAGGTGGCTTTGGAAAGTAAAGCGGACCGAGACGAGATCCAGTGCCGCCGGCTTGCTCGGGCCGGATCGAGTCGATGGGGGCGACGAGACCCACGATCAGTTCGGCTACTACTGTTGGTATCTACAAGTATGGCTTGAGAGACGTCACAGCATCGGACGTCACAGACCCAGAAAGGCGGTGGGGGTAGATGATGCGCTGTCTCAAGGGAGAGAGAATGCCTGCCTGACTCAAAAGCGGTTCCTTTCTTTTCCCTCCTCTCGCGGTGTCTCCCATCTCCCAGGCAAGCTGAATCCGGGACACCACGCCTTTATTTCGAGAGCCTACGATGTTCCCAGGTCATACTGTATTTCTAGCAGTACTTGTGAAAAGCAACTACTTCAACTATCGACCTACGTAGTAGTGGAGCGTTGCTCACGAAGCTTAGCAGGCCCTTGGCCGCCCCCCCAAGAAAAATTCACGATTCATACGCACGAATCTGTTGTTATTGGCACACCCTACCGAGCTGAGCAAACCAATGTCTGCTCCATAGAAGGGCAAATTTTAACTCGTGTTGTTACGTTTACGCCATTGTTCGGTACATGTACCTCCTCGGCTACCAGTCAATCAGAGGCACTGACGAGGAATATCTATTAGCTCACGAACCGTGCTCGGCAAATGACCGCCTCGGCATACAATCGTTATGGGTAGCATACTGTTACTGCTATTATACCAGGTAGGTACTATTATATTGCAGCCTACTGCGTTCGCATGTGCCAATGAATGATAAAAATGGCGGCGATACAACGGGAGGAAAAGACGAAACTGACCTACCAAAGCAGCCTGCCAAGCATTGGAACCGTAATGGGTACAAAGGGGGAGGAAGAGAGGTTTTGCAGAAGGAAAATCAATTGTGATGGATCAAGATGCAGACAAAAGGAAGCCCGGAGACCAAAAGCGGCTTCAAGCACGCAGCCTATGCATGCTGCGGCCGTCTTTGCAACCTGCAGGGCCGCCGTCCCAAGTGGGCAACGCGCGAAACCCCAGACAGCAGCTGCACAAAATGGCCTGTTTTCACGACGCCCTACAGGACAGTGCTTGTCGGTTCCCAGCTCGGCAGGCCTGAGCAAAGCCTCCCTGCAGGAAACATTGCGGACGGCCCCTGTTAGCGGAATGTTAGTGCCGAATCCACCGGTTGGCGTGTCCAGGTGGGCGTTGCGCAGTGCCAGCATATGGCATTTTGATCCATTGTTCGCCTTTGATATCGAGATTCGCCATAGCAGCCGCAGCTAGCACTAAGCGGCTGAGCCAAGGCTTCGTCCGGACTGACATGCGGTAAGACGGACAGATCAGTATAACCAGGTCAACGGATCAATAGATCAACAGATGGCCATATGGCCAAACAATCGAATGACTGACTGGCTGCTGATCTGGCAGTGGCTGGCATTCGACCATGTCTATCTATCCCGGCAACCTGGAATTTCTGCCCATATTGGGATGAACCAAGTCTCAGCTCAGGATCCCCCCGCCATTTGCTGAGCTGTCTTTGACGCTGTCTTTGACGTGTCTCTGGCCTCGTCATGTTGCTGCTGTCATGTCCGACTTGCTCGTCTCTTTTCTCACACACTCTCCTCTTTTAGCCCATTAGACTGCTACCCCTTCTTTTGTGGAGTGAGACGCTTGGTCGTCTCTCCCAGCATAAACGCGCCATCATGACCTCGATTGCGAGCGGTACTTGTGCTTTGGCCCTTGGTGTGCTATCCACACGCCGCCTAGGCCGAGACATTCTGTGTGCTTGTGTCACCGCTGCTGTCCACGAAAGGAAACTCTGCAAGGACACCAACGAGGCGACTGGCACGACTAGCAAGGACCTTCCCTTTCACCAGCGCTCCCTTGCGAGCGTCCTGGGAAGATGCATCATGCCGTATCCTCCTCTAATACATACAAGTAGTGCCTGCGGTATAGCAAACATCTAGGCGGCGGTAGGGGTACCTAGACTCTGCGGCACTGGCGTATACTTGTGGAAGTTCCCGCACCCCGGTGGGAGCTTGATTCGCGGGCCGTAGCGACTTTTCAGCACCCACGACTTTTTGGCGCACGCACTGTATTGGCCGGAACCTCCAAGACATGCGAATCCCATCCATCCCATTTTGCCTCTATTTCTTTTTCTAAAGGCGTATAATCTCTGAACAATGACGCAAATCAGTCTCAGCCTGGCCCAGAGTGGTAATTGCTGATCGACTTGATTATGCCACTTGTCTCTCTACTGAGCTTCCGAGAGCTGCCAGTTTGGTGCTGGGAGGTAGGCCTATAGAGTACAAAAGTACATAAACTACCTGTGCTGGCAACTGACCTCGATAAACCTGGCCGTGCCTGCCTATTGAGATATCTTTGTCTTACGCTTCTCATCGACGTGCACCATTTTTTTTTTCTTTCAT